AGCCTTTAATAGTCTACCTCAGTAATATATTTTGCGTATACACCAAAGACATCATTATAAAATTCTCTAGAACTCAAACAAAGTTTTTTTGCTTGGTTACAGAGGGCATTTACAATTTTTGGATGACAATGACCTTGGCTTACTGATGAAAAACCACATGAGAAATCCAAATATTTATTGCCTTCTGGATCCCAAACATGTGAGCCTTTGCACTTGGAAAAGACTATAGGAAGTGGATGATAACTAATTGAAAGAAATAACAATTAGAAAAAAAATAAATTAATTCTTAAATCATATCGAATTTGAAATCTTAACTTGTGGGCTCTGTAAGTATGTTCAAGATTTATCAGTTCGCGACTATTTAGATTTTCTGATCCTTTAACAGATTGTATCATCTTAAATTTTTAAATTTGTTCAGGAAGATAAATTTATTTATAGCGATAGCGGCTTGTAATACTTCACTGATGAACGTGATAAATAAATCTAATGCAGGGTGTTCGTGTAACTTTTACAAATTAGGTTAACTAAGAATCTGAATTTACGTAACTTTTTTATAGTTACTTTTTCGTTTTGCAATACAGTACCAACTTTCACTGAAAGTATTAATTTAGTTATAAATATAATTATTTTTATATATTTTATTTTTTTATTTGTAACGATTTAAAGTAAAGGGTCTGCAAATGCCCATGCCCGGCACATTGGTACCAGGCCGGGCATTAGTGCCTTATGCCGTGCCTGTGCTTATAGGCACAAAAGTGCCAGAGGCATAGGCACAAAATGCTAAGCACAGGCACAATTAAATAATAAATATCTAATTTCTGTGCCTGTGCCCATGCCCATGCCTGAGTTTTTGTGCCCATGCCCATACCTAGATTTTTTGTTGGGCACAGGCATGAGCCCGGGTTGCAGACCCCTAATTTAAAGTTTAAAGTTTCGATTAACCAATAAAATTTTAACAATATCATGAGATGATCTACGCTGTCTCTAATTAGATAGAATTAGTACAGTACCACTGAGTAGATTTATTGATAAGATATTGATGTAGTAAGAATAGATAACATTCTAGGGTCTAGGTTATATTCAGGGTTGGCATGGACCAGTCAATAGTCAAGCTTGACCAGACCAGTTTGACCAATTTGACTAGTTGGTCAAAGGGTTTAGTATTGGTAAAATTAGTCAAATTGGTCAAATAATATATAAAGTATATAAATATATTTGTTTATTTATTTGTATATTAAAATTATTTATTTAATAGGCTAGATATTTGACCAATTTGACCAGACCATTTGACCAATTTGACCAGACCAGTTCGACCAACAAATTTTTAGTCGACCAGTGATTTGACCAACTCTGGTTATATTGGAGCAATTCAATATTGACCTTATTCATATCTGAATGTAGTTTTATTAAATAAAATAAATTTTATCTATTTTATTTTTTTGTTCAAATGGTTTCTTTTTCGAATAATTTTATAATTTTACATCATTGAAGAAAAAATTACTGAATTGATTTTATTTTTGATTATAGCCAATGTTGTCACATGCTAAGTTTAGACATCAAATACACAATCAAAAACGATATGCAGAAATCAAAGATGTTTTTGAGGAACTTCGTAAGCAGCTCCCAACCACTTATACAGGTCACAAGATGAGTAAAGCTGTTTTACT